ACATTGATATAAAAAGACATATATGTCATTTGAAAAAATTTAAGTTGATAATCAACAAGCAGTCAGTCAGCTGAGATAGCTCCGCTGTTTGCAATGCACATTTCAATAAAAGAACTGAAGATTTTATTAGAAAATGAACGATATGTATAGTATCAAAGCAATGGGACTTGCTGTTTTCAACAAGAATTCAAAAATATCACTTTTCACCAAAAAATTAGATAATTGAAGATATCACCACAGAATTAACAAATCTCAAAGAGGTCAACATGTAGTACTTATATATGTAATATAAAAACAATCTGACTGACAAGAAGTCGAAAATATCACTTTTTACCAAAAATGACAAAAATATTAAGCAAAATTAGAGAATTGAAGATATCATCATGAAATGAACAAATCTGAGAGAGGTCTACCCAAGGTGCATATACACCAAGTATCAAAGCATTCAGGCTTGTAGTTTTCAAGAAGAAGTCGAAAAAGTAAAACATTGACACGGACGACGACGGACACCGGACAATCACTTATATGAAAAGCTCCGCTCGACAAAGTCAACAGCGGAGCTAACAAAAAGTGCTTTATTTCAGTTCATTCATAACATTATATATACATTAAATTATGAACAAATTTACTGCAAAAAATGGAAATTAAGCATTAATATTAATAAATCAATAACCATGATATTCAACAAAAGTGGCAAACACATTAAAAACCAAAATTTTCACATAGATGGTGTAGAACTAGAAAGAGTGTCAACATACACTTATCTTAGAATTAAATTGAAAACAAATGGTAAATTTGATTTGGCTCAAGAAGATCGTAAAAATAGAGCTATGAAAGCATGCTTCAAAATGAACGTTATTATTCTCAGATACATATATACCAATAAAAACATATCTTAAAATGTTTGATACCATGATAAAACCAATACTTTTATACTGTGCAGAAATCTGGTCAGATAGTATAATTAAACACCAAAAGATGTATATGAATATCATGTCACCAATGAAACAATTGCACATGAAATACTGCAAATACCTACTCAAAGTTAACAGCAAAGCGACCAATGTGGCATGTCTTTTAGAATTAGGAAGGTATCCATTAATTACAACAGGGATAAAACAGATGATCAAATACTGGTCTTGAATAAAAAAAAATGCCTGAAAATTCTCTGGTATATGAAGCATACAGTCTCGGCTTAGAACTAGACAACTCTGGCACCTACAACTACTGGGTTTCCGGATTAAAACTTATACTTAAAGATTAAATATAGATAAAATAATATCAGAAAAACTAAAAACAAAGTTTAAAAAAAATTGTAAACAGATTTTAGACAATGATAATTTAACAAAGGGAAAAATCACAAAAATAAATTGCGCACTTACAGAGAACTGAAAACAGATTTTGGCTTTGAAAACTACTTACATGTAGTCAAAAATACTCATCACAGGTCATCAATGACAAAATTGAGGATTAGTGCTCACAGACTACAAATAGAGACTGGGAGATATAACACAGATATATCTGACAGAAAATGTCTATGTTGTGAAAATAACGCCATAGAGAACGAAGAACATTTTCTTTTAACATGTGATCTCTACGCGG